CAATTTCGCTGGAATTTTTGAAACGTCGTTCATAGTACGGTACCAAGAGTTACGTGCGTTTCCGAGTGTCAAAGCGCGAAACACAGTTTAAACGAAGTAAAGCATAAAATTTGTGTTAGACTTCCGAAAAGGAAAATTCTTCGAGACGAAGTTCCAAAATAAATAGTGCGCGTATCTCTTCTCGCGTGCTTAACGATCGATCCATTGTCCAAAACATACGCTTGTCGAGTAACTTCGTTAACTAATTAACAGTTCCGACACGAAACGATTTTAGTACTAAATACCCCGTTCAGAAGCGAATTCGTGAAAGATATAATTTTGAATCGAATCGGTATTAAAAACCGTGTAACGATTCGATAACAAAAGTGTCGACGTCGTAAAGAAAATCGTACGCTACGATTAGTCTGTAAATGCGCGTACTCGGAACAGCAGCGATCAACGGCGTAAATCGATCGTCGTAAATCTCGCGCTTAAAAGCAACGCTTTCCCGCGGGAACTAACGGTAGAAAAATAATGCCAGTCGAACGGGAAACGTACTGTTGCGAGCGTATGAAAATGATCCTATTGAAATGGAAGGAGCTTAGAGATGGAAACCGCGAACGGTGAAACACTCGATACAGAGCGATCATCCGTCTTCTGGGATTGCCATGGAACGAGTGCATTGTGGACTTCACCGATCGCCACCTTTTCCAAGTAGTACGTACGCCCTTTTGTCACTCTCCTTCTCTTTTCTCTCTTTCCACTCGTCTATACCATCTCTTTTCTGCCTTTTCTTCTTCGTCGCTACGATTCGACTCTTTTGTTCGGATTCTACCGCATCGTAAAACGTTCCACTCGTCAATGATCGCGCGCTAAAAACGACTCGACGATCGACCAATCGATCCTTCTGCTCTTCCGCAAAATTTACATTTGGTAGTAAATGCAGCGAAAAAGTGCAGCGAACGATCGTTGGTCGTACGTAGCGGTAAAACAAAGCCTCTCTCGTTGCGTCGACGCAACAGCAAAGTTCAAAAACGAACGATGAGCGTTCACCGTCCGCTGTGCACGTATCGCGTTATACGTCTCTCTTAAAATGCCCTATACGCTGCACAACAAATTCATAGCGCGTTTCGAAAATGTTTATACAGTTAATATTTAAAAAGACACGATGGAGCATGCATCCGTTCCCCTATTGCAGTAACTTCGCTGAAATCTGTCGGAAAATTTCGTACCCTCGGGGAACAATATTTCACGTAGAAGAAGAAAAAAAAAACAAAGAAGAACGCGTAACTCATATTTTAGAGAGGAGAAAAATTGCGAGAAGCGTAGCTGCACGCACGCTCGAAGAGACATTTAATGTTCCCGAGGGAAACGAGCGAAAGCTTCACCCTTCGCCGGGGGTGAAACCCGTCGACGGTCGTGTAATCGGATATTATATTCACCGATCGGATTGATATCTCTGTCCTATTATGCCGCGGCATGAATTCCATTTTGAAGAACGCCGTGGCGCGGTTTCACGGCGATATTTGAATAGGGAATAGTAAGTTGAGCCGAGTCTGCGTGGCGGAACAGACATAGAAGAGGGAAATCGGAACAAAGTGGTGGTTAGAAACGATGGGAGTTACCGCGATCGAAAGTTCAACGATTTCGAATACAGAAACGAACGCGATATCGATAACTGGTCGCGCGCGACAATCGCCGACGAAACGATCTCGAATTTCATCCAGACTATTTTCACCTTCGTCGTCGACGAGTTTTCCAATTTTAATCGAGCGATCGAGGGAACCGATAATTTAGACCAAGTTTCGTTTGCCAGATACCGTTATAAAATTGTCGGTCCGTTAAAGCGTTTAGTTCGAAAGGAGGGTTTCGAATCGTTGCTCGAAATTCATTAAGATCGCGGTTAAGGTTGTCCAGGTTAAATCCACGAGAAGAGAAGCTTCGAGTATCGCGAAGCAACCAGTTTCCGGCTTACGTCTAATCCCAATTAAAAATCATTTTATCTCCGGAAACAGGAACGACCTCGACCTAACGGAACTTAACTCGGGCAAAGTGTATATTTTCCGGTCGAGCGGGAACGAAAGAAAAGAAGTAAGGCAGCGGCCTAATCGTAAGAAGGAACGAGCAAGAAGAGGGACGTTAGGAGAAAAGAAAGAGAAGCGAAAACGGCGCGGCGTTGGCGCAGCG